TTAACCAATGTCATAAAACAATATGTGTGCTACTGTTTCATGAGAAACTATTTGTTCTGTAAGCCTTCACCTGAAGTACAATAAAATTTAAAAAAGAGAAAAAAATAAACAATAAATAAATTGCCCCTGGGCTTCTCTGACAAAATGGAAATGACTATAAAATATGACATTACAGAAACTGCATCATGCTTACTTTAGTTCAAATGAACTATACGTCAATTCTCTTATAATTATACATCATAATACACGTGGAGTCTGATTTTGTTTGCCAACTAAGAAAAGAAGGGCCTCCACCTATACCACTCAAATGTGGATTACTTCACTGCGTGTTTGTGGGTATTTATTTCAGCTCCCCCCCAAAAAAAAAACAGGTGAGGAAAGAGCCCTGTCTGAGTGTTTAAGAAAGTCTGATAAGGGAACCAACTAGTATAAGGAGATGTTGTAGGTAGACGAAAGAGAAGATTCTAGAACCGACTATTTTCTTGACTATCACCTCCATTTTTTGTGTATTTCACACAGTACCCACACTAACCCTAGATTCCAAACCCCCATCAAATAAAATCTTTAGGAGGATATGGAGTAGAAGCAAACACATTTCAGAGCTGAACTACTCCATCTCAGCAGCCCACAGGGTGGGAATATCTCAGCCTTTCCTGGAAATACTCCCGTTATCCAGTTTCCCTCACTGGCCACCCTCATTCTTCACGAAGCTGTATGCTGCTCCTCTGCTTTATTTACAAGGTCGGGATGCGCCCTAATGCTCATTGCCAAAACTTTGCCTACCCACATGGCGTTCATCCTTCAAGAACCTGCTCAAATGCTATCTTCTCAAATACCAACAAACTCGAATGCTTGGCTGATCATTCTGATCATGGCTCATCTCTCCCTCTCTGGTAGCCACGGTTCCTATGATAACATTTTGTGGACTCAGAGCTACTTTGATCTTGGCTTGGATTGTACTTGGGTCTTGATTTAACACTTGCTGCAGATGACAAATGAAGACAGCTCCTGGTGAGCACAGCCATGATCTAGGTTATACATCTTTTCCTCTCCCAAAGCACCTGGCCCCTTCCACAAAGTAGTAAGTACCTTATAAATTAATTTAAATGATTATTTAAATACAAACACGGTTTTGATTGCTGGTTTCATCTGTCTTGTCACACCACACCAAACTAGTGAGTTTCAAATTGCCCCGACTGGCTTCCCGCTCCCTAGCTATCCCTGGATAGAATGAAGCTAAGAAGTTGTGAAATCACCAAAAAGGTGGGGAGAAAGAAAGGGAAGCTGGGCCTGAATAATCCTCACTTTGAGTCACCATTTCCTTAAAGATGGAGCTGACTGCTTCAGGGATCCGGAGAATGGAACCTGAGCACTCGCCCTCGCCCCCTGCCCAGTGCGGCGAGACCCCGGAGCTGGGCCGGGCTGGTACCCACGTGCTGGAGCGCCCTCCTGTGGCCCCGCCGCAGCCCCGGCCGCTCCCCGCCAACCACGGTCCCCGCGCCGGAAGAAACAAGAGACGCAGAAAGTTTCCGAGCCAGGCGGTTTGCGAAAGGTCGGAGCCAGGTCCCGGAGCCTCGCAGCGCGGGCGTGGCGGGAGCCGCGCCGAAATCGACGGTGACGGCGAGGGGCTGGGGGCCTAGACGGTTCCCCGAGGGGCTCCAAGGTGATCCCGGCCGCCCCTGGCGGGGCTGGAGTCCTCCAAAGCCCGAGGACGAAGGGTTCTCCCCCCGCCCCGACCTTACAGCGGAGGCCAAGCAGGAGGGAGGCTGGGCCCACAGCCAAGACCGGTGACACCTCCCACCCCCAGCTACCGGGGCGCGGTTGGGGCTCTAGGGCTTGCTTTATTCATTTTCTTAATTGGAGGGAGGGGCGCGCGAACTCCTTTTGGCTCATTATGATCCCCAACAATCCGGATTCCTGAGCGCCCCCCTTCCTCAAGAGCCCACCTGGAGTCCACCGCCCCACCCAGCGCCACCCTCCCCCACCTGGGTGACAAGTGGAAACAGCAAACGTCCCTCCGCCTCCCGTTCCAGCCTCTGGTTTGCGGGGTAATGTTCCAACAGGATTTCCCTGCCGACCGCAGTGGACTCGCCTGCCAGGGGGACGCGGCGCCCCGGGGCTGGGGACCTGGGCGGGAGAGGCCGGGCCCAGCGCGGCGCTTACCTCGTCTACAGTGAGTGGCATGCAAATCCGGTACTCCTTCAGCAGCATGGTCCAGCCGGCTGCTGAACCCCAGCGCGGGAAGCGGGGAGCGGGCCCCCAGATCAACAAGGCTGCCGCCCAGGCGCAGGCAGGGCGCTCAAAGCCGGCCCGTGGAACACCCCAGCAGCGCTCTCAGCTCCTGGCTACCTCCTCTCCGCCCTAGAGCATGTCAAGGTTTGGGTCTGGGTGTTCGCCGCTCCCCCGCCTCCTGCCTTGCCGAGGTCGGTCCTCCCGGAACGCGGTGTTGCAAAGTCGGGGAGGGAGGGAGACCCACTGGAAACGACTCCGACCTGCAACCCGCGGCGGTAGGGGCGGCTGGAAGATCAGGACATGCCCGGCGGTGGGCGAAGGAGGGAAAAAAAAACCCGAGATTTCCAAAAATGAAAACAAATGCACAAAAGTCACCCACTTGATCCGCCTCCAAAACAAGAAAGGAACCTGGCGACCCCCCTCCGGCCAGTTCGCCCAATGCTAATGTCACCAGGAACACGTTAGAGCCAAAGCCGGAGATGCTGACTTCCAGACAAAGGCTCGCTCGGCTTCTCTCCGCGGGCGGTAAACAAGGTTTCCTTCTCTTTTTAGGGCCAGTCCGCGAGTCGCTCCTGGGCTCTGCTGGGAGAGAAAAGGGAAGCCACCGTCGTCGCCGCCGCCGCCGCCGCTCGCCTCTGCCGGCTGGAGCCGCCGGTTCCTCCAAGCTCTGCTGGTGGCTGCGAGGGGAGGGCGCGAGGAAGCTGGCGCCTTCCGCACGCTCCCCTCCCCCGAGTACCTTCGCCCCGCGAGCGCCGTGCGTGCCCGCGAGTTTGCAGCCCCAGCGCCGGGGCCGGAGAGTCAGCGCGAGCTGCAGTGTGCCTGGGGCCGGGGAGGTGGGTGCGGGAGGAGGGCGTGCGAGCAACGCTGACATCAGCAGCGGCCGCGGCGGGGAGGGTAGCCCCATCCGGCCAATGGGGAAATGGCAAAGAATGTGGAGGATTTAAACAAAACAGCATGTCTCTCCCGGGTTGCTGCCAGACAGCAGAGCTGCTCCGGAGCCGAGGCCGGCGGGGACTGGGGAGGACTGACAAAGGGGGCTCCCCTCGGCTCCTCCACCCTGTGAAGCTGTTCTGAAATGGGCCTTTGGTGCCACAGGGCTCCGTCCAGCCACTCTGGGAAGCTTCTGGTTTCAAAGTCCAGGAATGTGCCTTGATCTTTGGAAAAGGTCTTTACAAATGCCCACCACCAAACATTTTCACTTTGGTCCAGCAAAGTCAGTCCATTGCCTGGTTTCATAACTGGCTTCAGAGAGGGAACCCTGGAAAACCGGTAAGTGCAGTGGTGTGAATGAAAATGCAGTACACACAGACCTGAGACACGAGAGAGTATGAACGCAACGCAGCCTTTTACCTCTCCTGGCCCCCTCCGCAGCGGTCCGAAAGCAGGCTTTGCAGAGCAACTGGAATAGGTTTTCTCGTCAGCACTCCTAAGTTCAAAAAGTCACAGTGAAATGTCAATGAAAATGCCTGGAGTGTTGGTATTCCATCCATATTAAACAGATCCCTTATTTTAACCACAAGAGGCACATTCTTCAGTTACTCAGGAAGCAGCATGTAACTGCTGAAGTCTGTTTTTCATTTGTCTGGTATTTTTTAGCTTGTTTTTCCAAAAAGTTGCCGGATGAAAAATGCATGGGTGCCTGAATGCAGAATAACCTGTATGCATAATCTTTTCTAGAAAAAATATTCATTCTCTAAAGTTCTGCAGCCAGTCATACAGTTTGGATGGCAGTACAGATGGCCTCAATATTATAGTATTTAAAATTACGATTAATAAATAATTAACCGATATAAGACAATGAGCTTGTGGCAAAAATTGTCCAGATGGCTGGGGAAAATGTCTAACTGTGCTAACATGATACAAAGCCTGCTAGAAAAAATGACACCCTATATCCAGCTTATATTTTAGTGAAAACTATTTTCTAGATAAATGCTTCCCAGAGTTGGCTCAGAAAGATTCCCAGCAACTAATTAAAGCTGAACCAAATTCCTCGAGGTGGAGAATCTAAATCTGACACTGTAGTGTTGAGTAATAACACACTGAAAGCCTCTGATACAGAAAGAAGCTCAATCTGTTTTTCTTTTTTCGGCTTCTTACTTGAAAACAAGTATAGTGGCTTCACTTCTGGCACCTAATATTCTTCCCAGAGGCAGCTAGGGAATGTACTGGCTAGCCAAATGTGTGCACGCGCACACATACATCCATCAGAGTATGTGGGCTCTGTTCCTGGCTTTCTGGACATCTCCGGATGTAGAAAATGGATTCTGTAACTAGGTGTTTTACTGATGAGTAGTACAGTTGAGGAACTACTTCTCTGAATTCCACACACTGTAATATGTCCCCCCCTCACTGTTGAAAGCTGACCTCTCCACTAGACTTTTCCTTTTCATGCAATCCATTCCGCATGCCTGATCATATTCATCTAGTGAAAGCATAGCTCTAATCTTGCCACCTTCAAAATCTTTTAGTGATTCTCTATGGCCTACTGTATGAGTCAGAATTCCTTGGCAGGAGGTTTAAGGTACTTAACCTACCTTTCTCCACATTATTCTGTTACCCTTCCCGTCCTGACTCCAGGACCAACTTTGTTGGCTGGAGATGGCCTCCACTTTTCTACCTTGACCCTTCCACTCTTGCCACTGTCTTCACAGAGAATCCCTCTCCCCACCTTACCCCCCATGGCACCATTTTGAAGCAGGGCATTGACAATCTGTGATTTTGGAAACTGATTTGGATGGCAGTGTGTCGGATGGATTAAGGGCAGGACACCAGAAGCAGGAGGTTGTTATATAATTATAATAGTCCAGGAGACATACAGGGACGATCTGAGCTAGACAGAGGATGAAAAAAGAGGGTGAACTGAAAAGATTTGGATAGAACTTGGGGATGGATTAGTGGTATTCACTACCACAGTGCTGGGGTGGGGGTGGGGGCATAGGAGGAGTGTATGGATTACACTCAACAGAAAGAAAACAAAAATCTTCACAACTAGACCATTAACCAACTTCATGATAAACAGAGAAAAGACTGAAGTTGTGAAGGATTTCTTTTTACTTGGATCCACAATCAACACCCATGGAAGCCGCAGTCAAGAAATCAAACAATGCACATTGGGAAAATCTGCTGCAAAAGATCTCTTTAAAGCGTACAAAAGCAAAGATGTCACTCTAAGGATTAAGGAGCACCTAACCCAAGCCATGGTGTTTTCAATCGCCTCGTATGCCTGTGGAAGCTGGACAATAAATAAGGAAGACTAAAGAAGAATTGACCCCTTTGAATTATCGTGTTGGTGAAGAATATTAAATATGCCATGGACCGCCAGAAGAACGAACAAATCTGTCTTGGAAGAAGTACAGCCAGAATGCTCATTAGAAGCAAGGAAGGTGAGACTTCGTCTCACATACTTCGGACATGTTATCAGGAGGGACCAGTCCCTGGAGAAAGACGTCATGCTTGGTAAAGTAGAAAAAAACCCACTGAGTTTTTCTGACTCATAGCGACCCTATAGGACAGAGTAGAACTGCCCCATAGAGTTTCCAAGGAGCGTTTGGTGGATTTGAACTGCCAACCCTTTGCTTAGCAGCTGTAGCACTTAAGCACTACACCACCAGGGTTTCCCAGAAAGTAGGGGGTCAGTGAAAAAGAGGAAGACCCTCAAGGAGATGGATTGACACAGTGGCTGCAACAATGGGCTCAAGCATAACAATGACTGTGAGGGTGGCGCAGGACCTGGCAGTGTTTCGTTCTGTTGTAGGAAGGGACACTATGAGTCAGAACCCACTCCAAGGCACCTAACAACATTCATTTCATTCATAACTCATTCACACAAAGGAGGGAGGGCGCCATCTACTGGTCAAACATGATTCTTTTAAAAATATTTTTAAGTCATCTCAGCAAGTCTGGCAAAGAGAATTGTTATCTTTGTTTCTTTTCAACCAAAAGAGCCCCCACTATCTACTTACAAAGAGTCCGGAAGGTATTGCCATCATTATTATTATGGATGGTATCAATATGCATAAACAATATGCAATCTACAGTTACTGATAGGGGCACAAACGATAAAAAGACAAAAGAGTGAAGTTACCAGACATGAATGATATCAGGAAAAGGAAAAGAACATTAGGCTGTGCATGTCTGTGACAGCATATATTCTCAGATAAGTGACAACCTCTGAAAGCCAAGGTTCTCAGAACGAGGGTGGGTATGCCGAGGGGGGAGAGGTGGGGTGGCCAGTGGGAGGGCTGTACATCAAAATTAAAATCATTTGTAGGAGTTTTTCAACCACTGCCTTCACCCACATTCTGATGGCACTCCCTCTCCCGATGAAGACTTCTCAGTTTGTGTGAAAAAAACGTAAAAAAAAAAAAAAAAAAGTCCTGACCCACCTTTGTAAATAGCCTCTGAAGGAAGAGTACAGCAACAACTGTCTTTGTGACTCTATTCAAATCATATTTTATTCTGGTATCTCTGGTACTTCTAAAGCAAAATATAGTTCTTCCTACCTTCCTCTTTCCTACCCACTGTTTCTAAGGCCTACAGCTTCCTCAATCCCAAATCCTAATTCCTACACAGAGCCATTCTAGATAACTATCTTTCCAGACAACCCAAAACACGTATCTACACTATTCATTCTGGTTCTTGTTTGTATCCATGTGTGGCCTTTATATACAGTGCCATAGAGATTATTGTAAGTATTTCACCTCTTCTCCAACTACTCATGATATTGAAGCTTCTTGAGATAGACCGTGTCTTATTTGTGTCATCTGAAAAAGGGAGTATAGTGGGTACCCAAGAAACGTCTATTAGATGTTTGCAGGCACTTACTGACATATTGAGCCAGATCATTCTCTGTTGAGAGCGGCTGTCCTGTGTATTGTAGGATGTTTAGCAGCATCCCTGGTCTTGATCTACTAGGTATTAGTAGCACCACCACACACACCATTGCTAAAGGTCCCCTGGGAAGGGACAAAGTCCCCAGTTGAGAACCACTGTATTAGTATAACATTCATTAATCTTATCTAAATGTTTACCTATTGCAAGAAGCTTTTGGGGAAACTTACTTTCCACCCATCAAAATCAGGGCTAAGGAGAGAGGAGGAAAACCAAACTGTGGCATAAAGATTTCCCCTTGACATTCCCATACTCAGTTTTATACTACCAAAGAAGCCCTCCATAAAGTCATTAAGTCCAGCCCACACTCCAAAGAGGGGAATTAAGTTCCACCTCCTTGAGGGAAAAGTGACTACACATATTATTTGATACTCTTCTGCAAAGAAGATTAGTCCTTTCTCCCCCATTTTTTAAAATTCAATTATTTATTTTTGTCCGTATGGAATTCATGCATATTTATTTTATAGATTGAGTTACAATCCAATACTACGTTATTTATTTTGTTGCTCAAATTGTTCCACATCCAGCCATTGGTGGCTCTTTCAGGTTGGCTCCTGTGTCCTCTTAAAGGGCACTTTTTGAAAATCAGAGCCCTGGTGATGCAGTGGTTAAGAGCACTTGGCAGTTCAAATCCATCAGCCACTCCTTGGAAACCCAATGGGGCAATTCTACTCTGTCCTATAGGGTCACTATGAGTTGGAATCGACCCGACTGCAATGGGTTTGGTTTTTTGGAAAATTAAATGTTATTCTTTGCAATGAATTTTTTGTTTTA